GCCTTTCCAAATTGCCTTTCCAATGGCGCCTCATTGTTCCTGGGCTAGAGCTGCTTCTGGAGGGGTGAGCCACCCCTGAAGTCTGATGGAAGTCCCAGAGGGCAACCAGAGATGGCTGGATTTATCCTGAGTAAACGTCAGACTGATCTCTTTACAGTACAGTGAGTGCCCAGGGCCTCCTTCCTTCTTCATAATTGCCAGAACATAAAGAACTTAATTGTGTGGATGATGCAGTGGACTAGGTAGTATGCACTGAACACAGTGTTAGATTTGAGCTCAAATCCTGCCCCAGATAGACTTACTAGCTCTGTGACCCTGAGCAACTCAATAGCTCTCCGCCTCAGTTTTTGCATCTGTAAAATGGGGATAATAATAGCACCTACCTCACAAGGTTGTTGTGAAGATCCCAGATAACATGTAAAGCCCTTTGAAAATCTTAAAAGTGGTAGGTAAATGCTGGCTATTATTATTATTCCAGCCTCAACCCTGCTATTTATTAGCTATGCAAATTTGAGCACCTAACTCACTGTAAATCTGAGCCTGTTTTTTCATTTGTATAAGGCAGATAATATCTGCTTTGTCTACCTGTAAAATTATACATAAATGTAAGCAACTGAAATCTTTTTTTTTTTACCTTTTTGGTCTAGATCTGTGATGTCACTGGTGTAGGAAGGCCCTGCTATGAGGAATCTTTCCCTTTAATAATGTGGAGGTAATTCTCCCTAGATAGGATGACCATACCTCAGCCATTTAATGCAAATAAAATGAAGAGATTCTAGGCCCTCCTTCTTCTTCTTAGCCTCTTCTTCTGTCTCCTTCAGTACAACTTCTGGGGGGAAGAATGAAAACTGTCCAGTAATTTATAGTCTTAGAGAATTGCCCAGAACATTGAGAGTTGAAGTGACTCCGCCAGAGTCACACAGTCGATACGTGCCCAATGTGAGACTTGACCCCAGGTCTTTTTGACTCCCTGTGTGGCTCACTATGCACTATGCTGTGTTTCATCAATATCAACAATTTGGATTCTTTTATGTTGGATATATTATCCTCCTAGCAAGATTGCAACCTCCTTGGGGTGGTACTGGACTGTGTGATACTCACTGATCCTTCTAGACCTGGGATTCTTAACTTTGGGCTCCACACACCCTCCATGGATTAATTCATGGCAAGATTTCAGGGGATCCCTGGACTTCGATGAGAATAAAAAGTTTTTACTGATCTCTTTAGCATTTTTTTTTCAATTGTGAATGTAGGCAACATATTTTTCCTGAGAAGCAGTCCATAGGCCAAAGGGTCCAAGACATGACAAAAAATTAAAACTCCTCTTCTAGTCTTTGGTTGATTTTGCATGTTTTAGGGAAGAGGAGACATTCTGGGGTAAGGGAGGTGTGATTGTCCTAGCATTTGCTGTCAGGCAGACTGAATTACAAAGGCCACGGTATTCCTGATACAGGCAAAACCAGGACAGTCACAGCTTTATGCTCATGGACACAGGGCATGTCGCTTCTCTAGTGCTGAGATCCCCATGACAAAGAAAGACTCATAAGCCTTGTGTTCTAGTTGTGGTTCTATTGTTGCTGTTCAGTTGTTTCAGGACTCTTTGTGACCTCATTTGGGGTTTTCTTGGCAAAGATACCGGGGTGGTTTGCCGTTTTCTTCTCCAGCTCATTTTAGAAATGAGAAAACAGAGGCAAACAGGATTAAGTGACTTGCCCAGGGTCACACAGCTAGTAAATGTCTGAGGCCGGATTTGAACTCAGATTTGAACTTCCTGACTCCAATCCTACCCACTGCCTGTCAGACCTGTCTAAAAACATACAAATGAACACAACTATACACTGATTCCCTTGATATTCTTGAGCTTTTGTTCTTCCAGATGAATTTTGTCATTTTTCTAGCTCTATAAAATAATATTTTGATAGTTTGATTGATATGGCACTGAATAAACAGATTTAGGTAGAATTGTTATTTTTAAAATATTGGGCTTGGCTTACCCATGAGCAATTAATATTTTTCCAATTGTTTAGATCTGACTTTATTTGTGTGGAAAGTATTGTATAGTTGTGTTCATATAGTTCCCGGGTTGTCTTGGCAGTATTTTATATTGTCTATAATTACTTTAAATGGAATTTCTCTATCTTTTGCTGCTGGACTTTGTTGGCAATATATAGAAATGCTAGTAGTTTATGTAGGCTTATTTTGTATCTTGCAACTTTGCTAAAGTTGTTAATAATTTCAAGTAGTTTTTGGTTGACTCTCTAGGATTCTAGCTATAACACCGTTATCATCTGCAAAGGACACTCCTAAATTCTTAGTTTCCCAGGTGCTGCCATTGCCACTTCAAATGTCTCCCCCCGACCAAAGCATCTCTTTATGCTTCCAAACCCCAGCAGAAAATCTCCATTAAATTATCGTCTCCTTCCCAGAGGTTGCCATCTTCAGCTGTGCTCAAGGGAAACGTAATCCTGAGAACTTCCCCAATTAATTATCAAACTCTGAATCCAGAGATTCTAGGAAATGTAGTCTTACTCTGACATGACTGTAATAACATTATCATAAAAGTATTATCATTATTACATGTCAATTATCAAGGCTTCCCATCGCTTCCGCTGTAATTGGTACCTTCAGCTGGTGGCAGCATGAGTGGTCATTATTATTCTATCATCACTCACTCCAATCATGGATAATGGGTCAGGTGGGATGGATTACCCTACTTGCTAGAGTGCCTTAGGATGGGCAACTAGTTCCAAGCCCAAACTCTAAATAACTTTTCCTACAACAAAGGATGCCATATTGTGGCATGGAGATGGGTCATGGTATAAGGGACTCCCCCAGTCTTTGTTTAGGGAGCAGAGTAAAAGTGCTGGCAAATCTTACTAAACAGGAAATTCTTCAAGTATGAGTCAGTCCAGTGCCAGGCTTATTGTCTAAGAACCAACCTAATTAAAATCTGAGAAGCTCATCACCCCAAGTGATAATTTTTTGGCCAAACTTATTCACGAAGACCATATACTAATATGTGTGGAGGGTTTTGATATGAATTAGTGGAGGGAAACCTCCCCCTTCCCAACTTGGATGATGTTGTGGCCTGAAAAACCTGTTTTATGGGAAAGGGACCCTTTCTTCACCCTCCCCCAGCCCCCAACAGGTCTCTGCTTTAGAGATGCCTCTTCCTCTTGGCTGACAGCCTGCCCTTCTCCCCCCCGCCCCAAGTCCTTCAGATCTGGCATTTACTTGCTTATAATGGCAGAGATGAGAAACCAATCAGGTAGCTAAGGAGACTCCATTCTTCCTTCTCTTCCACTTGATGTGTAAGACAGACTCAGGTATACCTGCACCAAATTACAGAGAAGGGACCTGGTATAACCCAGCACTTCTTAAACTGTGGGTAGTGACCCCCAAGTCGTGAAGTGCTGAAGTGGCAGTGAGTGGAAAAAGTTTAAAAAGTCCTGGATAACCTGGTCATCTAATACGAGGCCACCTCCCACATGATCATTTATCCTCTTCCTTTCACTTTAACTTCAAGGTCATCTTACCCAAAGCCTTCCCCTTTGACAGACCGGTGGATAGAAATTTAGTAATGTCCTTTTCTGTAGAATGACTGTGACCCCAATGTAGCTTTGCTTCCTCTTCCCATTCCTCTCTTCTCATTACCCCCTGGGCATTTCCAGTTAAGTGTCTTTCTTCGTGAGGGGTAAAATAATTCTAATAATAAACACTTACTGCTTTTTAGTACATTGGCTGATTTGCTTCTTCTGTGGAAATCTCTTTGTTTTCCCAAAGCAGCTGCAATAAATTGGGGCAATAATAATTACAGATCTATATAGTTCTGAATAATGAACACTTAAAAAAAAAGCAAGATAGTCATCCACAAGAGACTGCATTCTCAGTTTTAAGCAATGATCTCAGGCTTTATTTATTTATTTAGTGATTTATGCTACTCCATTGTCTTAGTTGCCCCTCTTGGTCATCAGTGTGGAGGAAACTATAGTCTAAGAAAACCCAGGGTATTAGCATAAAGCAGAGTTTACATATTATGTATTAAATGAATTATGTTTACAATGGTAATAAATGTGCACAATACCTCACCCCCTCATCCCAAGAGGTCCTTAGACTCAGCTATTTAGATGTGCTTTTCACTTGAAGGTGGGGGATGGAGAAGAAATCATCCGGTCCATTCAGAAGTAGACCAGTACAGGAGCTGGCCCATCTGGGAGTGGGCCTGATCCCTTGACAGTGGCTTCCAGCTGTGGGGAGTTTGAATGATCCAGCTCTAGACATCACTCAATGAAGAAGACTCACTCACGTTTAATTTCGATTCCCTGAAATTCACCAAACATTTCTTATGCCCTGTACCATTTATCAGGCTCTGTGCTAAAAGCTGGGGATACGAAGATGAAAAACAACCCGCTTAAACAATTCTTTTTGTGTGTGTGTCTGCCACTTTTTCTCTAGGCTCTCCTCTCCCATCCCCACAGGGAGGACAACACATACAATGTCTGCTCTTTGGGGTTAGGTGCCATTGACCCACTTGGGCTAGCTAGCCCCTCTGCAGGGTTCAATAAAGACTTGATTGATTTGTTTGGTTCACATTTCCTTTCCTTCCAGGTGGAAACTGAAATTTGGGGTCACCAAAGAAAAATCTTGGGAAGGGGCCTCCCCTTACAATATAGAAGCACATCAGAATCATAGAATGTTAGAGCCAAGAGACTTTAGGAATCATCTAGTTCAGCCCTCTCATTTTCCACATAAAGGAAGAAAGCCCAGAGAGGGAGATTGCCTTGTCCAAAGTCACTCTGCTAGAACTGGCAGAGTCAGAACTCCACTGGTCTTTACATCCAGGCCTATGGCCACACTGCCCCCCAGCATCTTTGCCCTTGAGGGTCTTTGAGGTAACCACTGCTCTACACTGCTCAGCAGCTGTCTCCTCCCTTACCCTCAACAAAGCCCTCCCAACCCCTTTCCCTTCCAAACAGAAGTAAAGCACATTTCAACAGGGATGATGAAATGTCAGGGTTGAAACATTTATTACTCAGACAATGTATTTCATAGCATACAGCATTTCAGAACTGTCTCGTCTCTCTTTCGGTATCACAGTCCTCAATAAGATTTGCCCTTTCCCAGGCCCTTATATAACTGCTCCCCCCTCCCACCCTTGCATTTTCTTAAAAAAAAAAGTTTTTAGTTTAACAAATATGATCAATGATTAAATTAAAATGTTATTTTCTCCAACACAATAAATATATAGAGATATTATACCCCTCCCTAGCTTCTCTTATGTGCATGATTCCATGGTTGAATTAGAGGAAGTTAGGTCCTCTGCTCCCTCCCCATTCCCCCTCCACCTCCCCCCACTGCAAAGTCCTTGCCTCCTTTCCCTAGGGGTATCTTTGGAGAGGAGTGGGACTGGGGACAACCCCTTGTGACCAGCCCTGTGAAATTATGAAGCTAGCAGTTAAGTCCCAGACTGAGTGTAAGCCTAGAAGGAGAGGCTCTGACCAGGAGGAAGGTTTCTCCAGAGCCCTGCTGTGTGAGTGTTGCTGCAAAAATAAAATATATGTCATCTTAAGAAAATAAATGGCCAGGCCTTCTGGGGATGATCAGTCTTTGCGACTTATCTGCTTGGAGCTGGAGAACCAACCAGTTGCCCTCCCAAGCACCTCAATTTGGTTCATCCCCTTCCTTCTGAATCACAACTTTCCTCAAATGAGCTGCTTCTACTTGCCTGCATGGGAACATTGCTCTGGGGAAAAACATAAGCCAAGTGACTGTGAGGAAACACAAACCTTCTGTCTGAAAACCCTTCCCCGTTAACTGAACCAATGTAATTCTGTGCTGGGTAGATTTTCTGCTGACAGCTTGTCGCTGTGCAGCCCAAGTCTCTGGCTCGGTTATCCATGTATTCTCTCCCTCCCCTGTGCCCTATCCTCTGCCCATCATCCTGGCATTCAACCTCTGTCTCTGGCCCACCAAGTACCTCCTGCCCCCCAACCTACATAGAAACCAGCTACTGCAAATCTCCAAAACACCCCGAGTCCTTAGCAGCATCCCCTGAGGTCCCCACCAATGCCATTAGATGTGTTTGATTTGGGCAGAAGAGGTCCCTCCTTTGGCGCCCATGAGTGCGTGCATGCACACACACACAGCTAAGGGGAGGAGTTCTGGGGGATTTTAATTTATTGTTATTAATTAAACCCACTGGTACCTGGGGTCCAGTGGAAAAGTGGTGCATATCAAGGAAGGAGTCATCATTGTGTGTCTAAAATTCACGTAAACGCTTTAAGAGGGATCCTTTGAACCCCCAGAGATAGGTCCTTATGGGATCACGGACACACTTCTGGGAGGTATGGGACCTCAGGACTACCTGAGGGGAAGTTGCCTATCTTCGTCTTCTGTGCACTTCCATTCTCAGTTTTCCCAATACGGGGCATTTTAGAACAGGTAGATGATTCCCCACTGTCAACCCCTTCCCCCATGGCTCACAGTGGAGACAGTTCATAAGAGAAGAGCTGATCAGTTCCTCCCGCCAGATAACAGCTGCTGACCACGGCCTTGGGGTTACTTCCCCCTCCCTATGTCATGATCCAGGCCCTGGCTGATGGCCTTGGTATCTGGGGTTCTGCCTCCTGCAGATTTTCCAAGGCATGATCAGTGAGTGACATATTTCAAGCTCTTTCCATCCCTTAGAAAAATAAAAAAAATAAAAATAAGAAATAAATACTACCTCGGCCAACAAATACATTTACATGGACAGACAGGACGATCTGAAAACTTTAAGTTTACAAAGCAGCTGACAGCAAGACAAACATAGGCAGACTGGATTAATTGGAGAGTAGTTCCAGAGGAAGGTGGGTTTCCAGTGTCTCAGGGGTTCTCTGGTCTTGTCTAGCGAAGGTTAGGAGTCAGTTTGGGCTGTAGTACAAAGAAATGGACTGAAACCATTCAGCCTGATGCCCAAGACTACAGCTAGAAGGCAATCTCATCTCTTTTGAAGGAAAACTGGGATAAAAGCTGACCCTTGGGTTGGCTGGCCCACTGGGGAAAGTGCTTAAATAGAATGACCACTGGCTGTCATGGCTTGGCTTCATGAATGTTCTCAGAAAGTTGCAGTCAATTGGGTATGAATTTGAAGCCTTAGAAAGAAAAGATTCAGTTTTCCTCTGTTTAGGGTTTCCCTTGAATACATTCAGAGGTCAAACTGGGCCTACCACAGTTCACCAAGGGAAGGCCAGACACGGCCCCAGGCTCAGGGCTGGGGAGGTCAGGGCTCTCCGAGGCTGGGCAGAGTATTGCTTCTACCTGCCCATGTTCTCATCAGATGGCGGCTCCCCAGAGTTTAGGCTTATTATTATTATCTGAAGCACTTTTCACAAGTTTGTAAAAGTAGCAGCAACTAGATATAGAAAACGGCTTAAATGGTTATTCAGATTGGCCAGGAAGCGCTTTAAAGCAACAGATTGACCTGTGTAAACTGTGTGTATGCCGGAAGCCACCATGACACAATACGTAATTAAAAATATATTTATATATGTGTATATATATATATATATATATATATATATATATATGTATATATATGTATAATAATTTACTTTTTCCACACTATCACCATGAGAGTTAAGGAGTTTGACTCACAGGGTTAGTGTGGGAGAACCAGAGGAAGTAAGCCTCATGGCCCTACTGGGGACCCTTCAAAGAGCCCATTGCCTTGCCCATGGGGACATGCTTCCACAGCTCTCACAAGGGACCTTGTCCATGAAAAGGTCTTTTGAGAAATCCCCCCTTTATACAACAGAACTTCTTGTCTTGGTTTTACACTGTCCATCCCTTCTTCCCTCAGTTCCTCCCTCCCCATTCTTCCTCTCTAACCCTATAGCTCAGAGGTGGTTTACACCTAGTTATTGCCCCTGATTTTCACCAGAGCTTTGGGACCAGATCCACTCTCTTCACACATATTTATAGCTTTAGAAGGTGGTGGATCAGTGGTTTCTGCCCTTTATTGTTCTCTCCCACTAGGACTGGCTGAGTCCATCAGGAGACTGTCTTTCTTCTGCATTCTACAAGTATCCTCACCATCACTGAACAATTCAGGCCAACGGCTGGAATCTTTTTATACCACAGGCTTCTGTTTGGGCTAAGCAGACCCCCAGGGAGCAGTGGCAAGATTAAGGAGTTGGGGAATAGGAGAGAAAAAGAGGGCATGAGAAAGAGAAAAAAACGGGAGGTGGGTGAGAAAAAAAGAGGACTGTGGGAGAAAAAAGAAATGAAGGTGCATATGGTAGGGAGGATAGTTGCTCATTAGCTTCTGTGGTACAGTCTGAGAAGCTCAGGGTTAGGGAAGACTTCTACTCTTCTCATATGGGTGGGTAGGCTTGTTTTCAGGGAATGGGCATGCAAAATCATCTGCCAGGGAGTGGACCTGGGGGAATGTTTGCCTCCTGACTCAGGTGGGTATGAATTCTCTTGCCAGGGGAAAGCGACTCTGAGGTTTGGTCACAGTGGGGCTGGTGAGAGACTGCCTTTCCTTTCCTAATCTCTCTCATTAGCTCTGAACAAAAAAAAGGGAAAACCTCATTCCTTAGGTGTACCAGGCTTTAGGACTGAGCAGCCAGAGAGATGATTTAGTGGGTGGCAAACCTTAATAAAGGAACAAATAAAGAAGCTGCTGAAATCTTGACATCATTTCCTGGTCTTCATTCAGGTCTCTTGTCTCCAGAAAGAGCCCATTGAAAATTTTTAACTAGGGTTGTCCTAGACAACCTTCCTGGCTTCCAAGAAACAAATCTATGAGATTTCTCCATCTGGTCCATGTCATGTTACTCAAAACAGTACATACTGTATTGAATTTGGTGCAGCTGGGTAGAGGTATGGGGGTAGAATAGTGGAGTAGAATTGTGGAGAAAAAAAGGCTGTTAACACAGCTGATCCCAGCTGAGCCTCAGAAACCTAGAAAGCCGTCTCCCTCACTAACACTGATTGTGACGTTGGCTCTAGAACATCTCCTTCCTGAAGTACCCACTTTCGTCCTCTTCCTAATAACACTGTGCTCCAGTGGGCACTTGCTTGACTTCTATTTGTCCTCAGTGGGCCCCAGAAACACTTCTGGACCAGCTTTTGATCTTGGTAGGGGCATCCTTCCATGGAAGGGGAATGGGGTATAACAATGTAGGCCCAATCAGTTAAGACCCCTGTCAGATCAGCACCCTGGGCAATGTCATTTATCTTGCAGACTGAGGCCCTGAGAACAGATGACAGTATATGCCAGTGGGGATACTTCCTTTGAGCCTGCAAACACCATGACACTTTCCCCCCACAACCCCTCCCCCTTCCCCGTTTACCAGCTTCTTTTCCTTGTATTTCCCAAAGTCCTCTGGGGCTAGAGCCAAGTTAACTGAACAGTACTATGGACATAGTGCTAAGGACCCCAGTGTAGAACTTGGGGAGGAGGGATAATTATAGGTCAGTGCCCAAAGGACATGGTATAGCACAGGTTTCTTGGAGGAAGCCCCTGCTGGACCAGAAGTATTTGATTATCTTAAATGGCTACTACAGCTATGAGGCCTGGACTGTGGTCCCCCAGACCTGCCCTCCCCTGCTACTCAGGGGTGCTCACAGAGTGTACGCTGGAGGCTCTCCTCACAGAGAAAAGAGACTTCAAAGTCACTGTCTTTTTATAAAAACAGCCTCCCAAGAGTGCAAATTACAACCGCAAACATCCCTCCTCCTCCTCCTGTGTTTCAGGAATTTAAGGGAAGACAACTGCAGTCAGTCCGGTGGAGGGTGAGGGACTGGGGGGGACCCCCAAGCCCTACCCAAACTAAGCTCTGCTGGACAAAAGTTGTCAATTACAAGCGTCTGGTGCAGACCTTGTGTTCTTTTGTCCTCCCAAGACATCTGCCATGCGTCGCCTCCGCCAGTTGGCTACTGCAAGCTGACATAATGGGGAGTGGGGGTGGGGTGGGGTGGGAAACAATACCAGGCCAGACTTGGATGCCTGTTTTCAACCCTCTGTGGTCTTTTCTGACCCAAATGGTGTCCCAGGGTGAGTGAGCGTCTGTCACGGCTGTAATGGAGTCACAAGAATGAACCCCCTCCAACAGAAACCCTGCAGGGTATGGAGTGGGAAGGGGTAGGGAAGCAGGGGGATAAGGAATTCAGAAAATAGGTAGGGAGATGGCAGGGGGCCCCTGCTAAAAAGAGACATGCATCCTTTATGGATGTGTATTGCCGCATGCAGGAAGCAGGGGATGGTGGCTCCTCTTAGGTATTGGATCCTGAGAGTTTTGCTCCTTTCTCTCTGAATTTGCCATTGGGCCTATCTGCCCTGCTTTTCTGCTTTCATTTATGGTGCATGGTCTTTCTCCTACTCCGGCCATCCCCTTTCCTCCTGGTCCTGTCCTCTCTTGTCCCATCCTGTTCCCTGCCCTCCTTGGGGCCCCCCTGGCCTGCCTGCCCTCCCGGCCCACCCCACCCTGCCTCCTCAGGCTGTCAGTTTCTGGATGGTTTTGTTGTAGTATTGGGTGATGGTTGGTGTCAGGGGGTTCCAGTTGTTGGCATGCAGCTCGATGACCTCGAGAAGCAGCGACCGTGTCAGCATTGACTCTGAAGGGCACAGCATCTTGTCCCGGGCGCTGGCCAAGAGCTCTGTCATCATTTCGGGCAGCTGCTCTTCCAGCAGTCGACCTGTGCTCTGCAGCTGTCGACGGAGAGGGACAGGAGTCAATGCTTAGGAGAAAAGACTGAGTGGGCCAATGGGGATACTCCACTCCCCTGTCCCCTTCCTACCTGACTGGGAGAGGAAGTGGATGGACTTTAAGACCTCTCTAGGCTCTCAGGAAGATGGCAGGTGAGGGCCTCTGTCCTTTAAGGAAGAAGTCAAACTAGGAGAAGAGTCTGGGCTGGGAATAACTGACTTCTGTAGTTTTTAAACTGAACAACCCAGCCTGGGGAAAGGAGACCTGGATGCTATCAAGCTGTTCAGTGGGAAAAGATGAATCCTTAGAATGGGAGTTCCCACTTATGCCCAAAGGTCTATAAAATTGTGCATACCCTTTGACCCAGCAATACCACTTCTTGGGCTATATACCAAAGAGATCATACAAATGGGAAAAGGACCCGCTTGTACAAAAATATTTATAGCAGCTTTTTCTGTGGCGGCAAAGAATTGGAAACTGAGGGGATGCCCATCAATTGGGGAATGGCTGAACAAGTTATGGTATATGAATGTAATGGAATACTATTGTGCTATAAGAAATGATAAGCAGGTAGACTTCAGAAAAACCTGGAAAGACTTATATGAACTGATGCAGAGTAAAATGAGCAGAATCAGGAGAACACTGTACACAGTAACAGCCATGCTGTATGATGACTGACTTTGATAGACTTAGCCTTTCTCAGCAAAGTAAGGATATAAGACAACTCCAAAAGACTCGTGATGGAAAATGCTATCCACATCCAGGAAAAGAACTGTGGAGTCTTAATGCAGATGGAAGCATACCATTTGCTCCCTTTTTTTTTGTTTTGTTGCTGTTGTTTCTTCTTTCTTGTGGATCCTCTTATTGGTTCTAATTCTTCTTTACAACATGACTAATGTGAAAATATGTTTAATATGAATGTATATTCATAGAGAGCCTATATCAGATTGCATGCTGTCTTGGGGAGGGAGGGAATTTAAAACTCAAAATCTTATGGAAGTGAATGTTGAAAACTAAAAATAAATAAATGAAAGAACAGAAGTTTCCAAAAAGTATCATTAATTACATATGTTAGAATTGGTTCCTGTGACTTATGTGTTTTCAAAATTAAAAAAAAAAATCAAATCTACCCTTAAAGGACAAAGATTTGCCTTCACTGAGAACGCTCAAGAAAACATGCACCAGCCTCTGAAGGCTCTCCATTTCCAAAGAGGTGTCCCAGGGAATCTGAGCAGTAATGGCATGTTAAAGGACCTCAGAGGCCATCTGCTCCAATTTCCTCATTTTATAAATGAGGAAACTGAGGCCTAGATAATAATAGCACTTGCCTTCCAGGATTGTCATGAGGATCAAATGAGGCAATATTTGTAAAGAGTGTTGCAAACCTAGGATTGTAAGCTCTAGCTAGCATGGATTGGTTGTAGTAGTCTGGCCCAGGTGCTCTCCATGGTGCCAGGCCATGCTGACTGCCTATATCAGAGGGATAGGAGAGGACAGGTCATTGCTGGGTAGGGGAATTCCTCCCTGGGCCAGGGAAAACACTTAGAGCAGAAACTAGTTGGTAGGAAGGCTGTTAGCCAAGGGTACAAAGAACCCCAAAGCTGTCCTCTCCTCCCTACCCCTCCAAAAGTGATGTTCCTATTCCTGAGTCAAGCTGTATAGTAAGCTTAGAGAGGGCCTCTCTAGAGATATAAATGATTTCTGAGGAAGGAGGAAGAACAAGGAGTGGTGTATGTGTGTGTGTGTTGGTGTGTATTTGGCTTACGGGTTCAGGATGAATACGGAAATAGCAGAAGGAAAGCCCTGGCATGGGGCTATGGACTGCTGTCCTGGCCAGGGAGAACTGGCTTTGGGTTAAAGAACAATTAGGTAACTGGAAAAGCTGGAGTATGGGCACGGAGAGAAGGGGATTTTTGTATATACACATGTATCTCTATATGTATACACACATAATACATGTATATAGACGTGTATATGTACACACACATATATATGTATAAATGTATAGTGTTTATATAGCTCCTACTATGTGCCAGGCACTGTCCTAAGCATATGTAGATATTTATCTCATCTGATTCTCACAACAACCCTGCAAGGTAGATGCTGTTGTTATCCTTAATTTACAATTGAAGAAAATGAGGCAAACAGAAGTTAAGTGATTTGCCCCTGGTCACACAGCATTTCCTGCATCTGGGGATGGATTTGAACTCAGTTCTTGACTGTAGGCCCGGTGCTGTATCCATTGAGTCACTTAGCTTCCATGGAAGTATGGAGTGCTCTGACCCATACTAGAGTTTGCCTTTGACATCTTCCCCCTCTCCCTTATCATTATAGCTAGCATTTATACATTGCCTGAAGAATTACAAAGCACTTAACAATATTATCTCATTTGACACTCACAATAACCCTGGAAGGCAGGTGCTGTTATTATCCCCATTTTTACAGATAAGGAAACTGAGGCAGAAAGTGGTTAAGTGACTTGCCCAGGGTGACACAGCTAGGAAGTTTGAGGCAGGATTCAAACTCAGGTCTTCTTGACGTGACAGCCACCTCTCTATCCAAAGTGCACCTGGCACACAGGGCCCTGGCAAGTCACTCAACCTCTCCACATTACGACAACTTGGTAAGATAGAGAAGGTGCTCACAGGTACTGCTGGAGGAAATTCTAGACTGCAGCAAGACTCCAGACACTCTCAGAGCTTGAGGGGTTTCTTAGTTCCTGGTGCCAACCTTCTGTCCTGTCTTCTTATCACTCTGGCTTCAGGCTTTGTGTTTCAAATATTCACCCCTTTACTTCCTGTTGTTGCTTCCCCAGCCTCTTCCCCACCAAGCCCGTTTATGTGCTCCTGCCTCAGCCCAGAGGACATCCTCTTTGTTAAAAGGGAAGGTTTATTTTTTTTTTAACCAGACATGATTTTACTGGTGTAGCTTAGGGAATATCCCATGGAGGAAACTCTCTCCACCAATGCCAACTGATAATCTGCTCTGCAATTTGAAGTCTTAGAAATGATTAAATGTCTATAAGTGGTTAAAAGATTAGGTGACTTACCCAGGGTCATACAGACAGTTATGGGTTAGCCAGGGATTCAAACCCAGGTCTTCCTTACTCTGAAGACAACTTTCCATCCAGTATGCGATGTAGCCTCTCAAAAAGGAGATTACAACATGTTAAAAACTGGACGATTCTACAGATTCTAATGTCAATGGTTGGATGTCAACATCCATCCATGTAGCTGATAACTCCTCTTTGCCTTTGTATGCCTTGTAGCTATAGATGCGAAAAAATTCATCGCCAACTTTTTGGTGCTGACCTTCCCTGCCCTTAGCTGAGCTGGCCCTCAGATGACAGGCCTGCTATTGGCACCAGGCTCATTCTTGTAGTCTTTTCAGCTTGGCAGGCCTGGTACAGTCTTCAGAACTCAGGGTCACTTCATGTGGCAAGGGATTTTAGTAGTGGATGTTAAAAGGCTTACCCACCTCCCTAAAATGGAGGGATTCAGTTCTTTCAGAACCAAAAGAACACTGAAAAACAGAAAGCTTCAAAAGAACATAGGGCATTGTCAAAGGCATTTGATGTTAGGAACAAAAGTTGTAGGAACTCTCTTTTCCTGAGGGTTTCCAGGACCCATTCCCTGTGACTGCAGAGGGTCTCATGAACAAAACACGTTTTATGTAAGCCTGTGATACTGAAGTTTGTTTGGCATTTGTGTTGGGCGTGTATGTGTGTGTATGTGTATGTGTGTGTGTGTGTGTGTGTGTGTGTGTGTGTGTGTGTGACACATTTGGAGGTGGGAAGGAAGAGGGAGGATGTAAGTACCTGGAGCAAGAACTGGGTTGGGGAGGTGCGAGCACCTGGGGGAAGGGGGAAAGGGATAAGCATTTATATAGTACCTACTATGTTAAGTGCTTTACAAATATTATCTCAGAGAATTTTGTAGGAGGGTAATCAGGGAACATTTGACAAGAGGGTCCTTCTGTATTAACCCTATTGAGCTGGGAAAATGAAAGTGGGGAAATCCAGCAAGAAGAAACCATGCATATGGGAAATCAGGTAACAGGAGCCTTTGGGAGACCATGCCTCAACACAAAGGAGTGACTCTAAAGGGGGAAATAGTTGGCACACAGCAGACTGATGATAGGGGAGATCATTTGGAGCAGAAGAAGCCATTTGGGTATCTTTCCAATGGTGCCATGGTTGATACTTGCTTGTTTGCTGAGGTTTCTTTGTATTCTCAGTGCCTAGCACAGTACATGGCACGTAGTAGGTGCTAAAGAAAAGAAATGCTCCAAACGAATTGAAGTAAAGAACCTTGTCCTAAGAAAAGGTGAGTTGCTAAAAAGTGGTCAGAGGTGAATCTAATATTTCTTCTACCCCTTACCCCTAGGTCTGAAAATGGGCTGCCCCAACCTAGGACAGAAAGAGTTAAAGAGCTATCAGTCCTGTCTATTGAGACACCTTGCTCATGAATGCTCCTCCCTGATGGTGTGAAGGGTGGATTAGCAATGGCCTTATCATCAGAAGACCTGCCTGCTTGCTGGGTACGTTGGAGTTGGGATTCCTTTTGGCTATGGATTGGACCTATGCTAAGGTCCCCCATTCTCAGATCTGTGATCTGGGTTCCAGTCCCAGCTCTGTCATTAAAATAGTTGTTTGACTTTGGGAAAGTCTGAACACTTAACTCTTCCAGGCCTCAGTTTGCTCATCTCTAAAATGAGGGCATTGGATTAGATGACTTCTAAGGGCCTTTCCAACTCTAGCCATCTATGGATCTGCGAGTTTAAATCTGTGGAGTCTCCGTGGTGTTGGAGGCCCTGTTCATTCCCTTAAGGGGTGACGGAAGCAAAATGTCACGATAGTCTGTCTCCCACTTTCTTTGTCTTTGCACAGGTTTTCTCTGGGTGGAATGCTGTCCTTCCTCACCTCTGACTTTTGTTATTCTTGGATCCCTAGATGCTTCCTCCAAGTCTTACCTCTCTCAAGAAGCCTTTTCAATTGTTAGTTCCCAGTTGTTAGCTCTCCCTGTCCCCCCTATGTGTATTTATATTGTATGTAACTTATATTCACTTGTCGGTGAATACATTGTAACCCTTCAGTAGAATGGAAGCCCTCTGAGGGCAGCCACTACCTCACTTTTGCATTTCTTCATCTGTACAATGAAGGGGATGGATTACATGGCTTCTAAAGGCCATTCTAGCTGCGAATTTGTGACACTGTGAGACCCAGAGCCTTACATTGTGCCTGGCACCTAGAAGGCATTAAAAAATTTTTTTTTAATTCAATTTTTTTTTCAGTTCTAAATTCTCTCCCTCCCTTCTCCCCATCCATTAAAAGGGCATGCAAAACAAATTCTTGCATTAACCATGTCCAAGAAAAGAACAGAAAATATCCTTTAATATGCATTGAGTCCCTCCCTCTCTACCTGGAGGTGAGTAGTTTCATTATGAGTCCTTTGGATTTGTGGTGGGACACTGCACTGATCAGAGTTCCTAAGTCTTTCAAAGCTGATTATCTTCACAATATTGTTGTGACTGTATAAATTATTCTCCCTGGTTCTGCTCACTTCATTCCATTTCAGTTCACACAAGTCTTTCCAGATTTCTCTGAGATCATCCCCTAGAAGGCACTTTGTAAAATACTTTCTGATGGATTGATATGCACCTACCTCCATGGAACAGCAAAGGACCGCATCTTCCTTCACATCCTGAGACTGCAACAACTGCAGAGGAAATGGAACAGAAGGAACCAGTCAGGAAAGGCACTTTCACATCCCCCCATTTGGAGGACAGTATTCAGGCACAATCATGGCTCACTCCTGGAAACTCCAACTGGCTGATGGTAAGCATCCAGTGCCAGGCCTTAAGAGTCAATGACCTTGGTCAGCTTCCTGGGGAGCTGAGCCAGGGACCCTTATTTTGTTGCCTGGGCTTTCACCTTTCATGAATTTCTAATTTTCTCTGATCATAGAAACATAATTTGGGTACCAAACCTCTTACTCTCCCTCACCCCTTGAGCTTGCTTGGCTCACTGGGTTCTGACATAAGTCATGCCTAATTTTATTTTATTTTTACCACCTTCTGCTGTTGTTGCTATACCAGCATGAGTAGCCTGGCATCACGTCCTAGCACTCGACAGTAGTAGATTTCAGGAACAGAATTGCTCTGAACTCTTTTTATGTCTGTATATCCTGTGCCTCAGACCACAATAGCACATTTCCTAGTGTTTATTTCCAAAGGGAAGAGGCTGAATGATGGTTAGCCTAGCCTTGGAGCCTGGAAGGCTTGGGCTAATGTTTGCCCACAGGTATATGTCTCTTGGCAAATCACTTCATCCCTCAAGGCTCCAGATAACTCTAGGCAAGACTCTAGGATGAAGAAGAGTTGTTACTTGACTTTAGAAGAAGGAGTACTCTACGCTAAAAAAATCATAAACTCAGAACCCCCATTGCCAGAAAAACAATTTACAAAGGAAAAAAGAATTTAGAGGTTTTTTAAAAAAATTCATTCGTATTCATCATTCATTCATCAGACATTGACTTTTTTATTTTTAATTAACTTATTTTGATTTATCAACAATCATTTCTGTATGCTTTTGAGTTTAAAATTTTTCTCCCCCTTCCTCCCTACCACCCTCCCCAAGACGGCTCATAATCTGATATAGGTTATACATGTACATTCCTATTAAACATATTTTCGCATTAGTGATGTTGTAAGTAAGAATTAGAACCAATAGGAGGAACCACCAGAAAGAGGAAACAAAACTTAACAGAAGAAAAAAAAATAGCCAAGAGTACACTTTGATCTTCATTCAAACTCCAAAGTTCTTTCTTTGGATGTGGATAGCATTTTCCATCACAAGGCTTTTGGAGATGTCTTAGATCTTTGTATTGCTGGGAAGGGTTAAGTTTATCAATATTAGTCATTGCACAATGTGGCTGTTATTGTGTACAACATTCTCTTGGTTTTGCTCACTTCACTCAGCAGCAGACCATACAAGTCTTCCCAGGTTTTTCTGAAGTCAGCCTGTTCATCATTTCTTATAGCACTGTAGTATCCCATTACATTCATATACCACACCTTGCTCAGTCATTCCCTAACTGATGGGCATCCTCTCAATTTCCAATTCTTTGCCAACACAAAAAGAGCTGCTATAAATATTTTTGTACATGTGGGTCCTTTTCCCATTTGTATGATCTCTTTGGGATACAGCCTTGAGGTGCTATTGCTGGGTCAAAGGGTATGCACAATTTTATAGCCCTTTGGGCATAGTTCAAAATTGCTCTCCAAAATGGTTGGATCATTTCACCACTCCACCAACAATGCATCAGAGTTCCAATTTTCCCACATCTCCTCCAACACTTATTGTTTTCTTGTTTTGTCATCTCAGCCAATCTGATAGGTATCAGGTTCTGATCAGAATGTGGTACCTCAGAGTTGTTTTGATTTGCATTTCTCTAATCAATAGTGATTTAGAGCATTTTTCCATATGACTATAGATGGCTTTAATGTCTTCATCTCATCAGACATTTATTAAGGACACCCACTGGGGTGATACAAAATTTAGATAAGGTGTAGTAGCCACCCTAATGTAGTTTACAGTCTGGGAGGAGGGGGATAACACAGAAATAGTACCATACTAGACATTCATGTTTTGTTGTTCAGTCGTTTCAGTCATATCTGACTCTTTATGACTCCATTTGAGTTTTTTTTTTGGCAAAGATACTGGAGTGGTTTCCCATTTCCTTCTCCAGTTCATTTTACAGATGAGGAAACTGAGGCCAACAGTGTTAAGTGACTTGCCCAGGATCACATAGCTAGTAAGTATCCAAGGCCAGATTTGATCTCAGGTTTTCCTGACTCCAGCTTCCAGGCTCTATGCATTGTGCCTTCTAGCTACCCCAAACACCCATGAGAGGGGTTATTAGAATCAAGTGCTGTGTGAGGTCCCAGGAGGAAGGTAACCAGTAGGACCAATTAATCAATTTATAAACATTAAATGCCTACTACGTGCCAGGCACTGTGCTAAGCAAGAGATACAAAGGGGGCAAAAGACAGCCCCTGGCCTCAAAGAGCTTACAATCTAAAGGGAGAGACAACATGCAAACAAATATAAACAAAGCAAGCTATATACAGGATAAATAGGAACTAACAGGAGTTTCCTGGAAGATTTGATTTCTGAGTTGGATTTTAAGGGAAGGGCAAGAATTCAAAAGATAAAGGTGCAGAGGAAAGCCATTCCTGGGAGGGGGAACTGTGTGAGCAAAGAAAGGCCTGGTTGGTGAGTATAGTGGATGTTCATGAGACCCACCTAGTACAATTGGGCTTGAGCATATAATGCATGGAAAGAGGTTCCATGAGATAAGACTGGAAGGTAGGGTGGTGCCTTGAATGACAGAGAAAGAAGCTTGAACAGAGCTTAGAATAGTGCCTGGCATAGAGCAGGCACTAAACAAATGTTTACTGATTGACTAATTGATCTTTCCTTGGTAGGCAATAAGGTGTCACTTCCTGGCCAGGGTAAGAAGGATGGATTGGTGTCGGATAAGACTAGAGGTGGGAAGACCTGAAAAGAGCAGATGTGGGAAGATGTGGCAAGAGCAGTGCTCTGGGGCAGAAGACAAGTATTCACTGATAGGATGAGGGAGGAGTCAGTTGTTATAGCCTAGAGACAATCATGGGCCTGACTATTCAGAGAGGTAGCTTAGGAAGGTTAGGTGCTGCCCATTAAGTACTTTTATGCACACTTCCAATGACTTTGTTCTGGTGTGTTATTTATGGATCTCCATCTATACTCTCTCATTCTTTTACCTTGCCCACTCTCACACTGGACCTGCTCTTCACCCTCATTTCAATGGCCCTTTGACCTGTTGTATTCTCCCAGTTAATGTTCTCACATTCTAACTTTACTTACCTGGGTATGTGCCTAGCTAGCCTCAGATGGTTTGCCACTTTATTTCACCATCTCCCTTTCTTTATTTCTCTTTCCTATCATAGTCAAAGTCCTAGAAAAAAGCCTTCATTTCCTCATGTCCTATTCACCTTTCAAACCCCATCCAATCTGGTTTCTAGTTATGCCCCTCAGAAAATGAAAATGATCTCTTTATAACAATGACCTTCTAATTAGTAAATCCAATGGCTTTCTCTCAGTCCTCAATCTTCTTAATTCCCCCCCCCCCCAAGGGTTTGTTATGGTGATCACTGTTTTCTCCAAGACCCTTGCCCACTCTTCGGTTTTCATGGTACTACTCTCCCTCTCTCTCCTCATCTCTCCATCTCCTTCTCTCTCTCCCTCCCTCTCATCTCTCATATCTCTCCTTCTCATCTCTCTCTCTCCCTCTCATTTTTCTCTCTCTCTTTCTCCCTCTCATATCTCTCCTCATCTCTCCCTCTCATTTCTTTCTCTCTTCCCCCCTTCTCCTCCAATACCTCTGAGCACTCCTCAGTCTTCTTTGTGAGATCATTATCTATGTCCTGCTTCTATGATAGGGAACCCCCAGGGTTTTGTCTCAAGGCCTCTTCTCTAGTCTCTCTTCACTCCCAGTGATGGCACCAGTTCCAATAGGTTCTGTTATCATCTCCAAGCAGAAGTCTCCCAAATCCAGCCCTCATCTCTTTCTTGAGCTCCAATCCCACATCCCCAAATGCCTGCTGTACATCTTCACCAAGAAGCCCATGACATCTCAAACTTGGCGCGTTAAAAACAGAACTCATCTTGCACACCCATTCCTAATTCCCATTACTTTGATCGCTCAAGCTTCACATCTAGAAGTCATTCCTGGTGCTTTCTGCTCTCTTACTCCCACATGTGCAATCAGCAGCTGAGTCTTGTCTCCTCTACCTTCACAGCAGAGCTATAACTACCTCTGTCCTCCTCTTTCTGCTCATACAGCACCCCATTTGGGTGATCATCTCCTTTGGCTGAGACCATTACAATAGCTTCCTAATTGGTGTTTTTGCTTCCAGCCTCTCCAGTCTCTAATCAATTCTCCACATAGCTGCCAAAGTGATAGTCATTCTTTTAAAGCACATTCTTTTAAAGCACAGTGACTGGGTCACTGTCCTGCTCAGCGTTGTCCTATTACCACCAGGATAAGATACAAACTCCTCCATTTGGCATTTAAAGTCCTCCACTATAAAGACCACTGGCTCTCGAGACAGAGGACCTAGAATTCAAATTCTGTTTCTGATGCTTAAAACCCCGGTGACTACCAACAAATCCCTTAGTCTCTCTGGGCCTCAGTTTCCTTACCTGTCAAATGAAAGAAGGGTTGAACTACATGTTCTCTGAGGTTCTCTCCAGGTCTGCATCTATGATTCTATCTTTCTGGGCTAATTTCAGATCATTCTGCATTACAAACCCTATTCCAGTCAAAATGGCTTCTTTGATACAGACCCATCCTCATGCCACAGATATTTTTCCTCCTCACCTGGGTCTCTTGGAAGCCTTAACTCCTAAAAAGGTTCAGTTTCAGTGCTACATCTTGCAGAAAGTCTTTTCTGATATTTTCAGTTGTTGCTACTACCTGCCTCTGAATTTGTTTTGTATCATTTTTAATTAATTAATTTTATTTTGAAATTCATTTTATTTATTTTTCATTTGTTCATATGTGTGCATGCCATTTTCCCTGACAGAATGTAAGCACTCTGAGGACAGGGACTGCTTCATGTTTGTCTTTCTGTCTAGCACCTAGCTCAGTGCTTGGTATACAGCAGTGACTTA